TCAACCATTATTGTAGAACCCACTTGTGATGAATTGATTGCCTGAGTAGCTAATTCTTTGATTTTAACTGTCTTTCATTATCTAATGTATTCTTTTCACTCAATTTTCTTGTAGTTTGGCGACAGTTTCCATAGCATGCCTATATTTTTTTTTCTTGATGAAACAAACGATCTTTCTCCCTGAATTTGACAAGAGCAAGCCTGTGCTTCTGTTGGAATAACATTTATACCCTTACTCTTAATAATAGTTCCTTCTTTAATATTGGTTTGATTTTCTTTAGTATTATTATTGATATCATTATCATGTTCTACTCCTGATTCAATTTCTTTGATAAGTTGGTCACCTTTCCTTTTCATTGTATTAATTAATGTATTTGTTTTTTTTGTTGCAGTTTGAATTTTTTTACAATCATTGAGTATAGAGGGATAGTGGTAGCATATCTTATTACAAAGAAACTCAACATTCTCTTTTACATTAAAACCAAGAATATCAGGAATAGAAATCCTCCTTTTTCTTTTTGATTGAATATAATCATTGAAGGTATTAAGAAAACCAGTTCCTGAATATGAATATTCTGTTTTTGTTAAATCATTATATATTTTGTATATGTTTATTAGTGATTAGAAAAATGTCTTTAGCTTTACAAGTTTTTTTTTTTTTTAATAACCTTTTAACAATATATTTTAACCAAATGATTGGATACATGCTGAAAACTGGTTTTTGGTGTAGCTGCATATGAGGCAAGCGATTTTAAAAAGAGGTTCAGGAATTATTTATCCTGGCCAATCATTATATATAATCACACGACTACACTCTACCCTTAAATAACAGTGTTAATAATAGTAAATCATAGGGAAATGTGGAGGTATATCAATGACGAAAATGATGGAGATATTATTTAAACTGTTGATGATGAAAGTATAACAAATTTATTGAATTAATAAGATAAATAAAAATATGTTATTTATATTGCTTTCTATAAATATATTTATGGTGCACATGTATTTAATCCAAGTTTTTTTATCTTAATGGACTAAAATCCAATGGTTTCAAAATGTTTGCTTCCATTTTTTGAACAAGTCGGACTATATATATTAAAAAGTTTTTTTAAATATTCAAAATTATTAAATTATTATTAATTATGACAGTAAGATAATAAAATATTTGTAATACCAGTTTTGTAAACTGTTTCTGCCCAACCATCAACTTCCCAAGCCTTTTCACGTGTGATTTTACGGTTTTCAAGATCACTATTTAATGAAAATAAATAAAGATAGATATCTTTAACTCCTTCTAATAATATAAATATGTAACAACAGCAATAAAATTATATAACAACAACAACAACAACAATAATTTACTCACGGGTATTGCCACATATGATGAACACAATTTAAGAATCCCAGCTGAGAAAACCAAGCACCAACAGGTTCACAGAATTGTCTACGACACTCAAGACCACGATGCCTGTTTCATCAAATATTTTTTAGTAATAT